CCCCCCCCCCCCCCCCCCCCCCCCCCCCCCCCCCCCCCCCCCCCTCTGCTCCTCCTTCCCCACCAACGGGAGCCCCCCAGGACTCTCAGAGAGCAGGGGAGGCAGGAGATGCTGCCATTTAAACTATTTGGGCACTTGCAGGATGTCCGGGGAGGGAGCCAGCATCTCAGAGGGGGCAGGGTGACCATAGCAACCCCTCTATCTCTCACCCCACAGGTGGGAGACCCCATGGCTCACCTCCCAGGGCAGAGGCCTCCGTCCTTCTGAGAAGGGAGCAGTGATACTACCGTGGAGGTCAAGTCCAGGCCGGGTGCCTGCTGGCTGCATGACTTGGGTGAGTCCCTAATCTTTCTGAGCCTCCCTTTACTCTTCTGTATTACACAGATGATAAAAATACCTGCCTTTCAAGGCTGCTGTGAAGACGAAAACTGGTACATGGTAGGTGTGATACACAATCAGGGTTTAGGAAATGGTCACCACTATTACAGGTGCCCCCAAGGTCTAACCTGTCCCTCACATGCTCTGCCTCTCTCTCCTCTCAATCTCTTCTCACAGAGGGCTGGCTGCAGGGGGACCAGAAAAGTTGGCAAAGATGGTGGCCTTGCTCCCTCCCATGTACATTCCTGCCCAGGCCGAGACCTTGGGCCTGCCCCTTAGATGCCAAGTCCCTGTGTCCTTCTGTCTCCCCATCCCCCTCTGCTGCTGAGGTCTCCTTGGACAATCCCTTGGGAACACCCTGCTACCTGAGAACTGAGGCCTCTGAAGGCCCTCTGTCCAACTCACTCCTTCCCTTGCCCATCCTGGGGACCCACATCCTGAGGCCCCATACCCTCAGGGCCCTGGTAGAAGGTGGCCAGGCTGGCACCAGAGCCTCTGTGCCCAGGTCACTTAAGGGCCAGAAGGCAAGGGCCCTCGAGACAACCCCTTGACCAGAGAAATCCCAGAGTCCCCCATCGTTCTGCATGAACTACATTCCCCCATGGCCTCACCACAGGTGGGCAGATATCCCTGGAAGGGTGTAGCCAGGGCTAGGTGGTGGGGACCTTGAGGTTCTCTCCTGGTTACTAGGATGGGGCGGGGCAGAGGGGCACTAACCTGGTGCATCAGGGTTCTCCCGGAGTTCCCACTCACCTGTGGCTTCGGGGCTCTCCCAGTACCCACTGAGGACCCAGCTCTGGGAGGGGCGTGGCCTGGGTCCCCGGGGGGGCGGGGGGGGGGGCGGGCCTTGTTGAAGGAGGAGACTGGCCTGGGCGGGCCCAGAGGGAAAGGAGCAGGGCTGGGCACTCACCTGGGGTCTCCAGGTTCTCGCAGAGCTCAGACTTGGCCTCACCATTGGGCCGGAAGCTGCCCTTCTGCGTGAACTTGTTGGACATGGTGGCGGCGGTGACGACGGCTTTGAGGCTGCGCTTGCGCTTGGGCACATTCTGCTCCGGGTGGAAGAGGATGATGTAGACCTTGGGCATGTAGAGCATCCCTAGGGACACCGAGGCGCTCAGACTCACCGAGACGGTCAGCGTCGTTGTCTGGATGTACAGCTGGAGGGGGGCCAGGGGGACAGCGTCAGAGAAGGCTCCGCCTGGCGCCGCAGGGGCCCTGACCCCAGAGACAGACACACAGAGGACAGACCCCGGGAGCCCTGTGTCCCACTGACTTTGGGCAAAAGGGAGTCAAGGTATAGAGCCAGGACTTTAGACCAGACCAAATCCTGGCTTTACCACTTCTAGCTATGTGACCTTGGACAAGTCCCACCTTGTGCCTCAGTTTCCTCACGTATAACACTGGCATGATATGATAGCACTTACTTCATAGGGTGGCTGTAAGGGTGAAACAACTTGACAAACGGTGAATGGACGTAGAACAATGCCCGGCACGTGCTACGTGCACGGAAGGGCTCCCCACTCCTACGTGCTATAGGGAGGTAGGTCCCTCAGGGGACCACAGCTGAGCCTCCCAGGAGCAGTCCCCTGCGCGGGGCTGGGAAGGAGAGGAACATCTGTTGGTGCAGTAACTCCCAGTGGGTGTGCCACAGCCCCTTGACCAAGCGTCCATTCAGTGACGCGGGGCCCCCCCCCCCCCCCACACACACGCCACCCTGTGCAGAGCACTGGCACGGGAGCCACAGCGCCTGGCAAGATATGGCGATGGCAGCATTGGTCAAAGCTCATTTCACGCTCACTCGCCAGCACTAACGGTGACAGATGTTTAGCAAAATGAAAGTCCATTAATCTGGGTGTCGGCTAATCCATTCTTCAATAGTGGGGCCTTCCAGGCAGGGCCTGACAATTCCCCCCGCCCCCGCCTGGGGTCCCCTCCCCGCCTCCTCCTCCTTCCTTCCCAGTCCTCCAAGCCTCAGGTGGCCCTCTAGCCTCCCCCTCAGCCTGGGTGGGGCCAGAGGAGGCCGAGGCTGTGGCCCTCAGGTCTGGGCATAGGGAAGGCAGGAAATGTTCTGCCCCCTACATCGGCTGTTTCTAGGCCTGGGTCCCCTCCCCTAGAGCCTGGCTGATGTGCCACCTCCTCTAGGACGCTCTTCCTGACCCCCGGTTTTATCCGACCCCCGCCCACGACACCCATTCTCATATCCCACCCCATCTCCTGCCCTTCTCCAGAAATGCCTCATGACCTGGGTCTGAAGGCTATTGTTCCAGCTCCCCTAGGGAGAGAGGCTGGAGAAGCTCTAGGGTCTGAAAGGAGGGAGGGGTGTGACCCTGAGGAAGTCTCAACCCCTCTCTGGGCGTCAGTTTTCTCATCAGTGCCATGGGATGAGAGCACCTACCTCTCCCAACCCATGGGGCCACCCAAACACAGACCGAAGCTGAGTGATCTGGCACAGCAGCGTGGGGAAGGAGGATGCGAGTGTGGAGAAGCTGTTTCATTGTCACTGTTCAGGAAATGTCACAGGCCCAGGGGAAAAAGAGCCTAGTCCCCAGGGAGCACACACCCCTCTGGACACAGTCATCCCCACTCTACCCCACCCCAGCCTTTACACTCCCACCCTCCGGCGACAGCGTTACCTCCAAGCATGACTAGCTAGTGGGAGGGTGCTGGCTACCTCTTCTACCTGCTGAGGTGGGCCTGGTGGCTGGGGCGGGGGAGGGGGAGGGAAGGGGACAGGCTCCACACCACTGGAGACAGCAATGAAGGTCTGGGCTAATCAACATCTTCACCATTGGACTGGGTGAGGCTATGTCTCCCTCATTAGATTGGGGGCTCCCTGAGGGCAAGGGCAGTCTTGCCTCTCACGCTGGGGGTTCTTGGGTATAAGGGTCGTGTTTCCAAGTCAGATACACCCTCTGCTCCACCTTGTTGATTGGGTGGGGTTAGGAGGGTGCAGTTGGGCCCATGTGGAGTTGGTGGGACCAGGGACAGAAGCCCCTCTCTGAGCCCTGCAGTGGACACAGCCCTGTGTTGGGGACCAGAGGCCTGGGGGCCAGACTGCACTCTGCCCTGACCCACTATGGGATGCTAGGCCCCTCCAGTATCCCAGGCAGAGTCAGCTCCGTGGGTATACACACTTGGTTTCATGCCCTACTGCCACCATCTTGAATGCTGAATCATTTTTGAACAAGGGGCTTTCCCCTTCTTTTTTCACAGAGCCCTGAAAACCATGGAGCCAGCCCTGAGCAGGCGGAGGGAGGAGGGGTTGTGGGGGGGAAGAGCACAATCCTTGGTGTTCTATTTTCTATTTTGCTTTTCAGCCTAGGAGGCTTTCTGCAAACAAAATACAAGATGCAGTGTAAACAGATCAAAGCTAAGCAAAGCTGCTCCCATCTGCTGGGGGCCCACCCTCCCAGCCTGGGCCCTGGGGGCTCTTCTGGCCAGGCAGGCTGGGAGTGGCCCCCTCTGTGTAAGCAGAAGGGGAGCTGCACGCCCCCAGTCCCTTTCCTTGCCCCAGGGTCTGGAATGCCCACCCCACCCCCAGATCAGGCACCATTCTGGGGCCTCCTGTGTGAAGGTGCACGTAGCACGCTGATTCTCTCAAAGAAGCAGTGGTCCTCTAGAACTTCTAGAACCCGGCAGGTACCCCCCAGAGGGCAGGGGCCCAGGCACGGATGCAGCTCTCAAAGGCAGGTGGGGTGAGAGGCAACCTCCGGGATGTGCTTTCTTCTCCCACTCGCCCATCTCCCAGACAGAGGTACCTGAACTCCTGCTCCCCTCTCCGGTCGGGCCCTTGCCACACTCTGTCCTCTGCAAGAAGTCCTGCCTTAGCCTCACAAGTGACCGCTCCCCAGAGTGCAGGCTGGGTTTCATGGGTGTGGACAGAGGTCACCCTGGGGGTGGGGCGAAGGACACAGAAAGGAGCTGCCTGGAGGTCGACGATGCGTTTTCCTGTTTCTGTGCTAGGCCTGGGGGGCATACGGTATAGGGGGCCCTGCTGGGGGCACTGAGGAGTTCTGCCTGCTCCGTGCTTCTGCCCAGGCCGACCCTAGTGGCTACTGAGATCCCCAGGATCTGTTCAAGCCAGATCGATGAACTTCCCCACAACCTGGCCAGCCCCTGGGGCCAGGTCCCGCCCAAGGCTGACTGAGCAGTAACCCCACGCGGTAGAGAAAGCACACTCCAGACGGCTCAGTCATGCCACACGGCTGCAGTGATAACCCCTGGAAATCCGGGCTAATGCTGGGAAATCCGTCCGCCTGCTCATCGGAGCAGCACTGACAGCTTCACTCTGCGCCCGCACCTGCACGCGGGGGGAAACGGGCACCTGCTGGGCACCTGCAGACGTGTGTGCACACGCACCTGGGCACACGCCCGTGCCCGCAAACGTACACACCCATACACACACGCATCTCTGCATTCACACGCACACACACCTGAACTCACCCCTGTACACTCATGCCTGACTCAGACCCCTGCCTGGGCACATACACACACACACACACACACACACACACACACACACACACAGCAGCCAGGCCTACAGCTTCCACTGGGGCACCTTGTAGTGCTGACAAAACACAGCACAGATACAGCCCCAGGACTGCCTATGCCTCTAGGAGGTCTGGCGGTCTGAACCCGCAGGGACTTCAGAGCTCCCCTCCCCTTCCTCATTCAGCAGCCCAGAGGGGAGGGTCGTGTCCCCTGCCCCACCCCTCAGGTGCAGAGCAGGGTCTTAGGCCACAAGTTGGTGTGAGGCCAGCCTGCTGTGTGACCCCAGGCAAGTAAGTCCCTGCCCCTCTCTGGGCCTCAGAAAAGATCATTTCAGAGGCTCCTTTTCATAATCAATACTGAGGGGAGCCTCCTAAAAAGGGAAAAAAGAGAGGCAGGCAGGGTGGCCTAGAGAGATGTGGGAGCTGAGAGAGGGGGCTGGGCCTTGGCCGCTGGAGGGTCTGACACCCTGGGAGGGTGTGGACCCCACGGGGGAGCACTGTGCTGGCAAGCAGCCAGAGGAACCTACGGGAAGTCAGAGTAAGGGGCTCACCCACCGTGTTGTCTGCCTTCCAGCCCTGTACCGTTACTCCCTGAGGAGGCAAGGGAAGGAGCCTCCTGGTAATGCCGAAGGTCATTTCTCAAGCCGCCAGCTTCCTGGACTGGCGCGTGGCTTCCCCTGCTGGCTCTGGAGGCCCCTTGGGCACTGCGGGGCAAGGGGCTTCTGTCTGCACCTGCACCCCGCAGGCCAGTGGGGGGGGCCGGAGACCTGGCTCACAGCATGAGCTGGGCCCAGTGGCCGCTTTGACTCAGGTCAGAGTGCAGGGTGACCTGGAGCCAAACCGGAGGGCTCTGACCTCAGGGCACTGACGTCTGCTTCTCAGGACCCCTCAGCCCACAGCCGCCATTGGAAGACAGGCCACAGGCCTCCCTGGGCCAGGCCACGGGTTTCAGAATGGAGGGCACAGCTCCTGCCCTCGAGGAACTGTTGGAGGAGAAGTGGTACCTGCCAAAGAAGCCCCAGGGCAGGGAGGTGTCCCGGGGCTGCAGGGGGCAGCGTGGACTGGGCTCCTGAGTTAGGCGGAACAGGGTCAAGTTCAGCCATGCCACTTACTGGCTGTGTGATCTCAGACAAATCACTTCACATCTCTGTGCCTTTGCGTCCTCATCTGTAAATTGGGATGGTGACATCTACCCTAGCCTGCTGCTGTGGAGCCTGCTGGCCATTAGGCAGAGTGTTTGGCACATGACAAGCACCCCATCCATGGCAGCTTTCGCAGCAGCCTCACCGAAAGCCAAGCATCCCTAGGAGTTCACACCTGGGTGGGCTCATGGCTTCAAACGCCATCCACGGGCTGACGACTCCCCCGGCTACATCTCCAGCCCGGCCCTCAGCCCCGAACCCCGGACTTGTAGCATATTCAACTTTTGGCTCAACGGCGGCACTTGGCCCTCTAACAGGCATCCCAAACTTAGCACATCCAAAGGACTGCCCGATCTCTGCCCCCAAGCAGGCTCCTCTGCCGTCAGATTCCCCACCTTAGGGCCGGACATCCCTTCCTTCCGACGATCCGCACACCGAAAACTACAGAGCCATCCTCGATTCTCCTCTGCACTTCTTGCCCCACATGCAGTCCATCCAAAATCCAGCCAGCTCCACCTGCAGGAGCCCCCACTTCCCATCACCCCTGCTGCCAGCAGCCCCTTGTTGAGATCACTGCAGTTACCCCCACGTTGGCCCCGTTCCTGGCTCACTTCCTCAGGGCTCTGCCCAGCAGCAGGAGGGATCCTTCTAAATCTGAACTATGTTCCGTTCCTCACCACTCAGAACCCCACTGTGGCTCCCTTCTCGCTGACGGTAGAAGCCAGCATCCTTCCCACAGCCTCCGGGTCCTCCGCCATCTGCCCTGTCATCTTTCTGACCCTGTCCCCATCACCCTCCTCCGGGTTCCTCAGCCCCAGCCTCCCCCCCTCCCCCCCCCCCCACAGTGGGTAAACTGCCTTCACACCCATCATGCCATGTGACTTACAACACCTTAAGGACCGCAAGAGAAGGATCATGGCCCCAATCTACTGATGAAGAAACTGAGGCGGAGAGGCCAGCTGGCTTGCCCAGGATCCCAGACATGGAGCTCGGACCAGGAGCTGGGGTCCTCAGTCCCCACAATCCCCCCTGTCTCTGGCCTCTGGCTTCCGGGACTCCCAATCCTTTAAGATAAAACCCCACAGAAGCCAGGCAGTGCTGGGGCCGGGTTGTGGGCAGAGTACACAGGGTCCTGGGGTGAGTCCAGGCCCACAGGATGGCATGACAGAGCCAGCAGGACACAACCTCTCCGCAGCTCTGGATGTTGGAGGGGATGACATCCCCAGCTCCCGGGGCCTCGGAGGCTTGGGGACCAGGAAAGAAGGAGTGAGTGCCTGATCCCTCCCTCCCTCACCTAGGGATCCGTTGGGATCCCGTGAAGGCAGAGAGAGGGGCAGACAGAGGGGGAGGAAGAGAGGAGTGGAAGGCAGGGAAGATGGGGCTGGGTAGGGACAGAGGTGAGGGAGAGTCTAGAAGAGAACGGAGGCTGACAGAGAGGAGAGAGGGAGGTGATGGGAGGGAGAGAGGAAAGGGGCAAAGAGCTGTGGAAGACAGGAGGGAGAGGAGAAGCAGGAGAAGAGAAAGGGTGGGAGACAGGAGAGACAACCTGGAGGCTGGAGAACAGACTGGAGACAGAGAAGGCAGCGGGGAGTGGAAGAAGGCATCTCCAGAGCAGGGTGAGAGGCCGGGGAGCCCCCGGAGGCTGCCTCCGGGCTCACGGCCTCTCCCCTACCCGCACCCCCCACCCCCGGGGGGCTCTGCCACTCACCTTGTCTGCCGACTGCGAGGTGCCAAAGAAGATGGGGATGAAGGCGAGCCAGACGATGCAGGTGGTGTACATGGTGAAGCCAATGGGCTTGGCCTCGTTGAAGGTCTCCGGGACACCGCGTGTCTTGATGGCGTACACGGTGCACGTGACCATGAGCAGCATGCTGTAGCCCAGCAGGCAGATGAGCGACAGGTCCGAGATGTCGCACTTGAGCACGCCCCTGGCGAAGCGGGGGTCGAGCGTCCGCTGGTCCTGGAAGTCCACCACCGAGTGGGAGGGGTCCACCACAAACCACACGCAGATGCCAAGCAGCTGCAGCGAGATGAGGCTGAAGGTGATGGCCAGCTGCGAGGCCGGGCTGATGAAGCGCGGGGCGCTGACCGACCGCTTGCCCTGCTCGAAGATGCGGTAGATGCGGTTGGTCTTGGTGAGCAGGGCCGCGTAGCTGATGCTCATGCCCAGCCCCAGGAAGATTCGGCGCAGAGAGCAGGTCCCCAGGTCAGGCTCGGCAATCATGAGGAAGGTGGTGGCGTAGCACAGGAAGATGCCAGCCAGCAGCACGTAGCTCAGCTCGCGGCCCGAGGCCTTGACGATGGGCGTGTCGTTGTAGCGCACGAAGGTGACCACCACAAAGAGCGTGGCAGCGATGCCCACCACGGCCAGGAAAAGGGGCAGCACGGCCCAGGGCGAGTCCCACTCGAGCTTGATGATGGGGATGGGTCGGCAGCCCGTGCGGTTCTCTGTGGGCCGCATGTCATACGGACAGGTCTTACAGGTGTAGCGATCCACCTGGTACTGGTACCCCGTGCAGGGCTCACAGTGCCAGCAGCAGGGCATGCCCTTCACGGTCTTCTTCCGCTCGCCCGGCTGGCAGGGCAGGCTGCAGATGGAGCGGGGCAGCTGCTGCCCACTCCCCGGCCACTGCATCCGCTCTATCTGCCAACGACAGCACAGGGGAGCCGGCCTCAGGATATGCCGCCCGGTGCCCCGGGCCACCCCACTGGCCCCACGCCTCAATCACCCAGTTAAATGGGGAAAATGCAGCCGCCCAGCCCCACCAGGACCCGCCGGATCCAACAGCTCGGTTTAAATAAGTCCCCCCCCCCCACCCTCACCGCGTGATTCAGACATAGCTGACCTATGGGGAATCCTAAACTCTCAAGGACCGTATGGAGACACGGAGCCCAGAGAACAGCAGTGACAACCTAGAGTCACCCGGGGAAGCAGAGAGAGCTCCAGAGCTCTGAACCCCAGCCCCTTATGCCCTTGCTGGTCCCCAGACCAGCAGCAGCAGCATCACCCAGGAGCTTGCTGGAAATGTGACATTTTGGCCCACCCCAGACCTACTGTCTTAGGATCTGAGTTTTAGCCAGACCCCGCAGGTGACTTATGTGCATGCTGAGAGATGCGCTGCCTCATGGCTTAGCCCAAGGGGCCTCCTCCGGGCGGCTCAGGAAGCTGAGTTCAGCAGACAGCAATGAACAGAAGTTTCCGCAGAGGATGCGTACTATGTGCCCAGGGGTTAGCGTTTCTTTACATCTTGCTCTAAATTCGTGCAAGTCACTGTCATATGTCCCCGAAGACACAATTGCTGTGAGCAAAGGAGCCACAGGCGTGTTGGCACACCCTACTGAATTCAGGGTTTCAAAAGTCTGGAAAAGTAGGGGAGAGGCCCAGAAGAACTCTAGGCCCTGAGCAGAGGGAGTCAGACTACACTTGGGAGCCATATTCAAAGCATCTGTTCCAGGGGTGCCTGGGTGGCTAAGACAGTTGAGCATCCGATTCTTGATTTCAGCTCAGGTCATGATGGAGGGGCTCCCAGGGTTGTGGGATCAAGGAGATCCCAGGGTTGTAGGATCGTGCCCCGCGTCGGGCTCCGTGCTGAGCGCGGAGCCTGCTTAAGATTATCTGTCTCTCTCTCTCTCTTCCCTCTGCCCCTCTCGCCCATTTGCACTCTTTCTTTTTCTCTAAAAAATAAAAACAAAAAACAAAGCCTCTATTCCAAATGAAGTGGCCCTTAGGAAGAGGTCACACTTGGAGAGCAGCACGCCTGGCCAGATAGGTGCTCCTTTGGGCTGGGTACTCGCTCCCAGGGAAAGATTAACTGGTTGGTCGGGCGAAGGGAGGGTTTCAGAGTTGAGGAAAAGGTGGGGGCGGGGGGGGTGTCCAAAGACGGCCTCATGGGAGGCGAGAAGGAAACCTCAGGGCTCCGGGCATGACAGGGCCACGTGGTCCTAAAAGCCCAAGAGCACAGCAACAACCCGGTGCCACCGTCCCGCAGGAACAATGAGGCAGGACAACCCCTGTGCACTGGAGCTGTGAGACCGCAGGGGGACACAGGGCAACAGTGGCTGTGCCAAAAAACTCTGGCTCCAGTGGAAAGAGCAACGAACGCGGGTGAATCCTGGGACCACAGGTGTATTGCTAGCCAGTCATGAGCCCGGCAGCAAACACCTCAACCTCTCGGAGCCTTTGCTTCCCCTCCCTGATCCAATGATAGCAAATATGAGGCCACTTTGCCCTTTGTTACTTATTGTGGCTTCCATCTGGGAGTCATAATGGAATTCTTAAATCTCCCCAGAACGTCAGTGCCATGGGCTTTGCGTCTGTTCCCTGCGGCACAGCCAGCCCCCAGCACGGAGCTGGCACACAGTGGGGGCCCAGGGAATCTCTGCGGACTCTGTCGCAGGAGAAGTGAGGTCCGGGCACTGGCCACGAGAGGCCGCCTCACTTTCAGACCCTGGGGGGGAAGACAGTGGCAGGCGGGGTGAAGTCTTTTCTTCCTTTTCCTTTCCCCACAGCACAGACCAAACTGAGCACTGGACAAAGTGGGGAAGATGAGATGGTTGAGGTCCCCCTCCCCCTAGCCTTTCCCCCCCAACCCCGGCCCCAACTCCATGCTGGTGGAGGGGCCCTGTATCATCCGGGACGAGTCCACGGACCCCCCACACCGCGGCCCTGCCTTCACTTACCACATCTGTGGAATAGGATAAAAATAGTACCCGCCTCACCGGGCTGCCATCCGCACAGCCGGGCCGCGGGTTTACAACAGGAGCTGTACACAGCAGGTGCTCAGCAAGGAGTAGCTCCTGCCGCTGCTGCTGCTGAACTGAATCACTGGCCCCCACTGCTCCTCCCACTGCACCCAAATGAGACACGCCCCCATTTGGGGTATCGTCCCACTTTGCCAAGTGCCCCCACCTGCCCTGTTCTGTCTGTCTCCATTCACCAACCCAAGGAGCATTGCTGTAGG